GTCCTGCCCCAGCTTTTCCTTACGCGAGGACTTGCACAGGCTCCTTTCTGCGCACTTGCCCAATTTCACACTTTTTGTAAGACAGGTATCTTTGATGCCACTGCTCTCCTACCAATTCTGATAACAAGGAAGCAACATGAGTTTATAGGTGGCAGAGCATACAGTCAACAGTAGTCACACAAGGGTGGCTTCCACAGCAAAGCAGGCTTAGAAGACAAATCTAAGATTAATCCACATTTGAGTCTGATTCTGGAGGTTCATGTTGAGTATCTTGCGTATTACATGCAGTGAACAAAACCAGATTGAAAACAACAGTAGCTTACAAATCTTTCCCTTATTTTTCTGTCTTTAAGTAGTCTGATTCTCTCCTAACTCATTTTACATGAGTTAAACAACAGAACATCAGAACAACTTCAACAGAGACAACCTTGAATCAATAAGCTTGATTGATTGCCATACAGAGATGGCTTGACTGTTTATGTCTCCAACTGAACATATTAATATTTCAACATAGCACTTGCACAACCTCAAATATGAATAAAGAACAAACTACATAATTTGAACAATTACTACTTGATCTATGAGAAACCATCAAGTGTTTCCAGTAAGTTGCAAGGCAACAGGATCAAATCTCTTCTCATTCAGTGTTTTCCTTAATGATCTAGAAAGAAGCATTTCCACTCTGCTGACAAAATATACCAATCACAGCAGCACTAATTGACTGGAAAATATATTTAAAGTTAAGGCATTCAGCAGAGAGATTTAGATATGCATGGTATCTCAAAAGCTTTTACTTTCACATATATGTATTTTCAAATGTTAAATGATATTTTTAAAAAGGAGAAATACAAGTTCTATCAACAGGGGAAAGGATTATATCTTGCAGAACAGTGACTTCGAGAAATAGGTGCTGTGCACAGGCAATCCACAGAGGTTAATGAAAGTACACAGGGAAACACTTCTCAGTGTCTAAATGGAAGCAGTAGGAACTCATTAGGACATTTAGCATGTAGATCTGTTCTGCTGATTGGGATTCAGCCCAAGTCTAAAAATAATTAACTAACCACTTCTTCCTTGTTGAAAATCGCCTAATGATTTATTATCRGGTTGCCCAGTTTTGCCCTTTGGGTAACCATGCTGTCACAGTAAATTATCTTTCGTATTTCTACATTATTACTATTATTTTATTGTTGATGGAACTCTGAAAGCTTATGTATTTCCATGACCTCATCCTCTCCATCATCCTACCTTTTTTTTTCCCCTCTCTCTCTCCTCCAGAGAAGAAGTTCTGGGGTCGGAAAAGCAGGGGTTAGACTTTATACTGGCCCAGGTACAGCTGTAAGTTATTATTCTATTTGTTTCATTCATTAAGACAGATCATTTGCTGATTATTTGTCCTTGTCAAGTGGGGTATTGCAAGCTGAGTGCATCCTGCTCTGAATTCCAGAGAGGTGCCTATGTGACTGAACTCTCAAAATGCAAGTGTTGACTACTTCACCTCTACCACAGCAATATTTGTTTTCTTTGACATGCAAAAACCCAGTAGCAAAAGTAGAATTTAATTTGCAAAAGTCAGATAATTCATTTACTCTTTATTGCCATTTGCATAGTTAAAATCTTCGCTTTTACCCTTCAGCACTTACCATCTGCGCTTACAGATCTTGAAGTGAGCATATCTGACTATCTTTAGTTTGCATATATTAAGTATAGAGATTACACTACTCTCCCAGCAGCACACTGGGTACAACCCCATGCACAGTAGCACTGCCAGTCCCAAATGACAGCCTAGATTGCACAATAAATCATGCCAATGTGCAGTCAACACACCGACCTCTTCACCACGTATCTGTACTACCACACACAGACTCAACAACCCACTAAGGAGCCCACCATTCCTTGCTCTTTAGGATGCTGCAAAGTTGGCACCTTCATCACCAAGCAGGTTGTTCAGAAGGAAGGAAGGAGAGTTGGCTTCAGCAGAGTGAAACTTGTAGCTGCAACTCTAGCAGCACTGCGTAAGAGGAAATTCCTAACACAGGACCAATTGTTTCCCAATGTTTTCTTTGAAACAGCATCAAAAATACTTTACTTTATGCTGCACAAGCTTCTGAGTTCTTTCCATAAATCTGTTTCCCATTGAGAATCTGTCCTGCACTTCTGCATATAGTTAWCCCTCCTCTAACATTCAGGTCACATTTTGTCTTATTCTAGTGATGAATGCAGAGAGGGCACAGGAGAGACACTAGCCTCATTTTAAATTATTTCCTCTGTCTTGGAGCTGTCTTGGCTCCATCATGTGTGCACAGGGCAAGTGCCTTGATATAATCACCCCAGAAAGAACAGCAGGAGAAGAAGTTTGAACAACTAGTTTGGCCCCAGCTTACCATTTTCTGGTACCTTGAGGAGCCTGGAGAAAAACATGTTTGTTGTYGTTCTTGGGAGAGAGGAGAGAAGAAAAAAACCACCACTACAAATACCAGAAGAGTTTTGTCAGCCTTTAATTCTTTGTTACTCTGCGGTACGACATCCATGAAAAGGGAAAGTGTCACCATCAAGTCCATAGGCGGGCAAGAGTTGGGGAATATGGCTTTGATATGGTATGGAGAGAATATGGTAGGGAGAGAATTATTGAATGTCTGCAACCACACTGCCTTAACCACCACTCTGTGCTACGAGAAAAGCAGGGCAGGAGGTCTTCCAGCTCAATTTTAGGAAGAAAAGGAACATACAAACTCCCAAAACATACAATTCATGCCTATGGCATCAGTCCTTTCCAGGGACCCRGCAAACAGGAATAACTGACCCACTCCACCCCTGGTGGGAGATAAGATGAAAATTGCTCAGACAGAGGCAGTTCTGTACATGCACAGAAACATAACTCATCATTTGGAGAGCTTTAGAATAACAGCTAAACACACCTACTGAGCCAGGTTTAGGCAACACCTGAAAAAAGGATGTTTTAGATGCTCAATTGCAACGTGGCCASCAGTGTGACTTCTGGGTAGAGAGCCTCTGGTTTTGGTTGAGGCCCCATAATAGATGTTTACTAAATATACATTGTAATGTGACATCAAATAACTAAAAATAAACCAAATTGATTGGAGGACAATTAACTTATGGACTCTTCAGTAAGCTCAAAGACTAATAATATTTCCCAGGGGAAACAAATGAGTGAACAAATCCCATACGGGAATCATTTCACCCTTTGGTGGGAAGAGAGAATGTAGGCGCAGTCCTGCCACACAGAGCAATATGTCAGTAGAAAGAGGAGTTGTTCTTCCCATTCCTAAATTCCCTCAGTCATTTTCTATTCAAATGACCTTATTCAATTACCTCCCTAGATCTAGGGCCTGAGCGACCAGCAAAAGCTACAAYGCATATTTAGGAGAGGGAAGGTAACCATTTATACCACCCTTCATAATTAAATAAGCTTTGCTTAGCTAAGCTTAGCTTTTTCCCCCAAAGCTTGCCACTCCTTTTTGTTCTGTGCACTATATTCACTGTAGCTTCATTRACATTATTTAACTGTACAAACAAGTCAACAGCCTTGACTTTTGGAGATCTTGAAGAGAAGAAAGCTTGGAGCCTGACTCATCACAAGCAGATAGATGTTCACCAGCTGAAGGCAAGAAAGAGGTTGATGGGAAAACATTTGGGAAAGAACATTAATAATATTTTTTTAAAAGTCAAGRAAGTCTGAGGAACAAGAAGAAAGGAAAACACAAGACTTGCATACTAAGAGAAATACAGTACCATAGAAGAGAGGACAGAGAACAGACTTATGACATGCTTCCTTCTCTTAGTCATMTCACTTTCTAATTCACTTACTGTCAAATACAGCAAATACTCAGGCCACTTCTCAGGAAACCCCTTAGTCCTGTTGCTGTCCAGCTAAAGCACTTCCAGTCCAGACAGCCAATAGCACTGAGAAAGCAGCAAGAAACTCCTCCCTACCACTACTTACTTACTTACTTACTTACTTACTTACTTACTTACTTACTTACTTACTTCCTTCCTTCCTTCCTTCCTTCCTTCCTTCCTTCCTTCCTTCCTTCCTTCCTTCCTCCCTCCCTCCCTTCCTTCCTTCCTTCCTCTCTCTAGCTACTTACTGCAACCTGGCCATAGTCTTTTATAATCCTGTTGATGAGCTGAAGAGAAATCTCAGGTGTGGGTAGTTTGGGCATCATTCCACTTTGCCTTTCCCAGCCTTGTGGTGGGAAGAAGCTCCCTTCTGATAGGATGGGCTGATTAGCTGTGAATGTAAAACGACAGGAAAGGTGGGTATAAAGGCAGAGGAACTTTGGAAATGTAAATACAATGGAGTACATAAGCTAAATAATATCYAGTTGACATATATTTCAACTGGAATTAAGCACTGAATTTAGCTCTGAGCAGCCAGACATAGGATTGTTGCATAATAAAAGCTGCCTTATTCTCTAGTATGCTTTGTTTAAATGAGAAGAAACTGATCTTAACAATTAACAGCGATTTTGCCAGATTTCTTTTGCTGTGCCTTTCTTACATAATTGTGGATATCATCATTACAACTCTCCTTGGTTTTAGAAACACAGAACTATTCTAGGTATTAGTTAGATGGAATTTTCAAATTGCATTCAGAGCATATTGTGCATCACCACTTTTTAATCAAATCACCCTCAGTGATATCTGACAGTTGATGTTTATTATTAGGAAATCACTTGAACAATATAGTGTCAATAGTATCAGCACATAGACACATAAATTAAAAGCAAGGAGAAAAAATGGAGATATTCTTCAAAAACCAAAGAGAAATAAAGTCCAAACTTCTGCTTCTGCCAAGATAGTTAACTTACAGAGCTGATATTATTTGCTGCCTAGAAGAAGACTTCTGGTCCATATAAAATTGCTCATGGATAACGTGCAGCTGGTTCAATTTGTCCAGAGTGACACTTGTCATCTTCTCCTCCATGTGGTTTGTCCACTTTTGTGGGGGGCCCAGAGTTCTGGATGTGAATAGCACAGGAGGAGAACTACTTTTCTTCCATGTGGCCTTCACTCTTACGAACAAATTTTCTTATTTATTTAGCATAACAGCCTACCACCACAGTTTTGGGTCAATCCAGTGAAAACAATATAATGCAGCTCTCATCAATATGGCGCAGCCTTCTCAGAATGGACTATGTCAGCAGTAGGCCCTATTAGGAAATGTTATCACTGAATCATCATTCACTTGCAAAAATCAGCAAGTTTAATCAGAAGTCATAAATTCTTTCTAAAAGAGGTATTTGTCTTTCAATCTAGAAATCATAAAGAGGTGCTTTAGAGCAGAAATACAGTGTTCTTGGGAGTGCTGCTTTGCTTTCAACTAAGTGCTAAGCTGTCCTGAAGATGAAGTAGGAGTTCACAAGACACTCAGGCATTTTTTGCAAGTGTTGCCCTAAGGCTTTAATGTTAAATAACTTCTTGTTTACCTTACATCAAAATTACACATCACACACCTGGAACTATGTCTCATTACAGAAGCAGCATTTCATGTATCTTACATGCTCTTTTTTCACTCACAAGAACCTAACCAAGTAGTGGCTTCACAAGTTTTAAAGAGGTTTCCTTTGGTAAAGATTTCTCTAAATAAAACCTCTCCGTGAGCTCTGGCCTCCCACTCAAAAGTATAATATCAGAAAAATTGAGAGATGCATTGTAGGAGAAAAAGTCAGACAGCACACTCACCACTCAACTAAAAATATTTTATATATAAATTATACATTCTATACAACTTTTTGGACTGCCTTCAATACAGCTATTATAGGTGTAAATTGTAGTATCTGGTTATGCGGCTCCCTGTGCAATCCACGGACATGCCAGTTATAACACCTAAGTAAGTAGTTAGAGCAAGTGGTGTAGGTGTAGCCATTAGTGATGCCGTCATACTCAAGATCTTCTTGTTCTTTGCATGGTTATTTAATCCATTCTAAAATATGCCTTAAAAATCCATACACAGGCCCTCAATGCACTCTGAATTTCTGCGGTTTGCTTTGCTGTGTTCTGTATTCACTGATCCACTGAGTCAAAACCTCTAAAAAATTCCTTTTAAACTGCTTGCAGAGGGTAAGAGCCAGTCCAGTTTCAGCCCCCGATCAAGCCAATGCAAAGCTACTTGTCCCACTTTTAAAGGTCCCATTCATCATGTCTCCACAGCTCTAAATGTTGAGCTTGAAAGCAATAAAAACAGAGATTCACAGTTCAGAACAAGGAAAAAATTGCGTCTTTAGCCCACTTTCTCCCCATTCTTCCTGAAATTTGCCCAGCTCCCCAGTCTCTTCACCAGAGGACACAACCACTCTCTTGCTCTGTGCTGACCCTTTGCAGAAGTCATCTGGTGAAGAGGGGCTCTCAAGAGCGGCCGGTTTCTATCCATGCAGATAGGCTTCCAGCCAGTGTTCCCCGGAATCCTTCAGGGAGCTGCAAGAACAGAGTTAAAAAGAATACTTATGGAGAGACAATATCCACCTTCAGGAGAGGCAGAGATGGTTAGTAGGTTAGATGTAAAAATAATAGTTTAGAGCAGGGACAGTATACCTGTCGGAGCAAAGAAGTTGACTTGGAATGGGAATGAATAAGGGGAAAAAATCATTAAAGACATCTCATAGACAGCRAAGTCTGTCTATGGAGAATGAGTTGCAGGGATCATATCTTGTCCTCTCTTTTCATAGCAAAAAAGTGTGCAAGAAAATCCTCTTAAAAAAATCTAAATAAAGGTAGTCTCTTCCTGGATGTTGATTTSAAACAGCTATTTATGTGCATGTCCCTCCCTTGCAAGCCATTCCAGTGTAAAAGCACCCTGTTGGCTCATACTCACTTTAAAATATCCATGAAGGCTGTGAGTAGAGTCTTGCTTTTATACTCAATGCCGTGCTTCTCGCAAAGGGCTTTCACCAGAGGAGCTGCTTTACAGTAGTTGTGTCGAGGCATTGTGGGGAAAAGGCTGCAAGATTGAATAGAGGGAAGTTGGAAGGTTTGGAAGAGAGTTGGAAGATTTGGGTTGCCCCTATTCAGAATATGTCACTCCCCTCCCCATAGTTTCAGAATGAGACCAAAAGGTCTCCTGATGAGTTTCATCTTTTGCAAGACTACCAGGGCTTTCTCACTTATAAGTGCCCCATATTTTTCCACGCTCTTCTCCCCATAACCATACTCACTGGTGCTCAATTTGGAAGTTCAGGTGCCCAGTGAACCAGTCATTGAACATGGATTGGTTCACATTACACGTTGCATGAACCTAGGAAGACAAAAAAAAAGTTGTTTTCTTTTTTTCTGGAAACTTGGATAACTGAAATTCAGCATTTCACCTCCACCTTTCTGTAGCTGAACAGGCAATTTAGGACCAGGGATTATAGCCATAACTGGAAGCATTAAACAAAATCTAGATTGAACTGAAGCTATCTTATCTGCAGTAAAATTGTGAACAGCTGTACAGAAAAAAAAAAATCAAGGTATCCAGTCCTCATTTGCTTCTCCTTTACAAGGCTAAAAAAAAAATTGAATATGCTTCATATGTATTCATAATATGAAAAAAGAATGTGTCAAAAACTATTTAAAAAAGTGTCAAAAACTTTCAGAGAAAGAATACTTTTTATTAAAAAAATTAAATGTTTTCTGACTAAAAGCTTAGAAGGTATCAGCTACTAAAGAAGTACATGTCCACTTGGTGACTGGCAAGAACAAATCTTGCTAACACAGCTGTAAAGCTCAAAGAATAATGTTTACTTTGTCCTATAATTCAGAAGAGGAGACCCGTAACTCCCAGAGTAAAGAGGATTTTCACCTGTGTAGATACCCAGTCTTCATTCTTATCATAGTCAATGTCCATTGGAATGTGGTTCATCTGCGAGACCCAAATAAACCAGGTACTCTCTAGGTACCTGGGCATATAAACACAGAGACACGCTCATCATATCTCCAATCCCATCCAAACTCATCACTCCCACAGTATCTGTTTAAGTTACTAAGGCCCCAAGAAGCATTTTTGCCCAGTCTCCTGTTAGTCTCATCTTATGTAACAGCACTTCTACATCACCCAGGATTTTCTCTTCCATTTCTTTGCATTTTAGCTTTTGGAGTATCTTTCTAGCATCACTGAGTTTGTAGTAACAGATGTCTCTTAGTAGCCCCCCAGAAGTGACCACATTTCTTCTCAGCTATTTCCTTCTAAGAAAATTGTAATTTCATTTATTTGCATTTATCCCCTTTGAAGTTGAATACTGTACACCAAAAGCAATTGTRGGGCCTCCGGGTGTGCTGCGCATTACCTGGACAGCCAGTAGTACACCATGAAATTGTTAAATCCCATTAAAGGAATATACATGAGGGAGACTCGGATGTTGAAAAACGTAATCAAGAAGAGATCCTGAAAAAAAAGAAAGAAAAAAAAAAGATGATAAAAAGACTCCTAGATTCACCTCAGGTGAGGGGGAAGCACACAGTGGCTATATTTTTGGTAAAATTCAAAATATTGCAAGCAACACTTACCAACCACTTYTTCTTCTTGATTGTGAAGTAGAATATAGACAACTGGAAGAAGGGAATAAGTGCAGCTGGGGCCAATACTGAAGGAAAGAATGAGAACAGAGAGATATTTGTAGTTTCACTGCATCATAGTCTTATTGAATAGCAGGAGAAAAAAAAAAACAAAATAAAACAAACAAAACCAGTCCTGCTGAAAGGTTCCTCATCACAACAGAAGAGGAAGAGAAAAATTGTTCTTCCCTTCACACCACCTTCCATCTACACTAGGTTTCATATGTGCCCCTAACTAGTTCCTCTTCTCATCTCAGCCCCTTCCTTTCTTCATTTCTTCCCCATCTTTTTCTTCCTGGCACCTGTTCAACCTCTGTCTAGTCTCTAATGTCAYGTAATCCCAAGAGACACACACGGGGCAATTCCTCCTCTGGTGAAACTTCCTTAATGCTGCTGTGACATCCATGGGAACCTCTTGAAAAGCATCATCTTGGGGAGGAGGTGGAGATGCAGTAGTCATTATTGGCCGGGGTCCCCACAGCCCTGTGAGGAAGGGGGGATACTCACTGCTGAAATACCTATGCTGATAATTGTAAGGCATGAACTTCTTCTTCTTTTTCCCAAGCTGAAAAATAAAAGGACATCATAATGTTCCAGCTGGTGAACAGAGCCCCTTCATAAGGTGTTTCTTGCTCCCTCTCTTATCCTTCTGAAATCCACTGAGCCACTCAAATCCWCTTTGTCCATATACAGGATATCTGATTCCTCTCTGGTAAAATGCAGGAAGAGATAAGAACTAATTTCCTGCACCCTCAGCTCTATCCAACCCCGTCCAACACAGAGACAGYCATTCAACCTTAGCTGCTGTGTGCTCATGCTAATGTATAGCAGTTCAGAAGATTTCCAGCTGAAACCTTCCCAAATACAGCTAATAGTTTCCTATGAATCAGAATTGCTATGGAAAGAGACGGCAAAAGAAAGCCTCATCTATCCTAGCAGTGCCTGAAATCACAGTGATTCAGAAGGCTGTGCACATGGTTTTTATTTTTATGAAAAACAAAAAAAAGGGCACTTAAATAAATTCACTAAGCTTGTGTTTTGCACCTAGCAACTATATTGCTCCTGAAGAATTTAGCTACCAAAGAGCTCCCACCACCAAAAGGACTCAGGAAACACCTGACTCACTATCTACATTATCACTGATGATATTTAACACTAGTGCAAGTGGACTGACTCATTCTCTAAAGGCCTTTGAGGTGCTTACCATGGTATTCTATCAACACAGGGAGTGTAGGTGCTTATTTTAAGACTTTGCTTCTCTGGCCTTGCTGACAGTGCATCATCTTAGTGATGTCTGAGCTAGGTGCTTAAGTCATCTTGAAATGCCTTGAAATGGCCCTCAACGTAATGTCTCCAACTTGGGCTCTACTTATTGGACCATGACATGGAAGACTTTTCACAGAGTGAAAAGTTGGTCCATGAGACCCTCAGATCTTAGTGCACTCTGGAAAACAGAGCGAGTTTATGCAGGGAGGACAGATTATTACATTCCACTCTGCAACTTTCTGGTTTTAAAATCTTCTACTCCAGCATCTCTCTCTGCTTCTCCAGACATGCCCATACTCACCTCCATGGAGAGTGTCTTCCCCAAGCTGAAGAGGAGAGGGTGCATGTTGAGGTCGGGGTCTTTGCGGAAGCAGTTGGGCTTGGCGTGGTGCTGGTTGTGCAGGTGATTCCACCAACACGCAGGTAACCCCTGCGGGACCAACCAAAGATCAAGGATTCAAGCTAGAAACATGACAATATCTCTATTTATCCATATATTAACAACAGCTACACTATCCTGTCCTCRCAGATGATGCTGACCGAAACTACTGACGCTCCCATTCATTGCGCTGTCTGGATTATTCCCGGAGAATATTCCCACAACATGGCAATTACCTTCATAACATTTATCACAACCATCTGCATTAATCGATTCCATTTAGGCTTTCTGAAGACAGAGCAGTGTCCTAAATCATGCTGGAACCAGCTCATCTGGGCCTGGAAAACAAGAGGATCACTGAGAAAACAGAGTCACCGCAGTTATTTTTATTTTCCCCTGGGAGCCTCTGAACTTTCACAGTGTGAGAAGGTTCTCCCTTTTGATTCAGAGACAAAAACATCACGTGCTGCTCTGCTGACAGCTTCCCCTCAGGTCACTGTCCAGTAAAACTGCTCAGTGCCAGCTATTGCTTTCATTACAGCAGCAATAGGGTAAGCAGCAAAAGCATCAGTTACATCTAATTTGAGCGCAGAGTTCTGTTGCTTTCACTGGCAAATACATCATTTCTAAGTTACCAGGTAGGAAATGCAAGATTTTCCAAATATAGAGTTTCACTGCATTTCATATTCCTATAGAAATAAATAAAAAAAAAAAA